TCTTCATGGGCGCGGAAGGAGCTCGTGGTATCGCGACATGGAAGCTGAAGTCTACAGGAGGTTTCTTGCCCACCGTAAAAAATGTCTCGCGGTCTCGATCGCTCGCCTACAGAAGTGGTCGCATGAGGTGATGAAAGAATTGCACCCACAGGTAAAGTGGTCCGGCTCGCAGCGGTGGACTGAGCGGTTTCGCCGCCGTTGGAATCTGACAACCCGAGCGAAGACCATGGTCGGCCAGAAGCTTGCTGCCAGTGAGTTTGTGGGAAATGGTTGCAGTTTAATGTGTACTGCTTTGTGTTGTTTGTCTCTTTCTGTTTCACGGTTGAATTTTAACGCGTCATTAATACTGTCTTCTCTCTTTCCCTCCCACCCGTACTCCCAGACTGCGAGACTGACGTCAGGAATTTCTGGAAGTTCGTGCGTCACACCCGCCGCCAATACAAGATTGACCCGCAGTGGATAATAAACGCGGACCAGACACCACTGTGGCTCGAGATGCCTGCCGAACGCACAGTCGAGGAGGTGGGTCTGCGCTCTGTGCCTATCCGCAGCGGCGGCTATCAAAAGGAGCGAGTTACGGTGATGCTCTCCTGCACTGCCAGCGGTGAGAAGCTGAAGCCGTGGGTCTTCTTCAAACGGAAGACCCTACCTAAAGGGGATTTCCCTTCAGGTGAGCATTAACATGTCAGAATAATATATAACTCTATATATTGTTTTGTAACTGCCTGTAGTGTAGAATACTGTAGTCATAGAAGTTTCTGTTTGGTGGTGCACCTTTCTTGTTTGTTCTTTCGTATTTGTACCCTCGCTCAATATTGAATCATCCTCTTTTGTCAAACTCTCTCGACCCCTTCCTCTCGTAACTCTCGTTCTACCCAACACCCTAGTACCTAAGTTTTAACTACTTCTGAGATGGTATCGAGCTAGATTTCGATCAATGGGCCCACCAATTTTCGACCCTGTCATGGCGGCCCTCCCTCCCGACGACTTTCTACTGCGATCGGGCCGTCAGTGCGACCGTCGCGTGAAAATCCGCGACGGTTTTGATCGTCAGTGCGATCGACGGGGCGAAGGCGGCGCTCTGCTCGTCGCGCTGCCTCGTTGCCCCGTCGTTCGCGGCCACGCTGCCCCGACGTCGCCTCGACGCGCCTCCGTTTCGGCCCCCTATTCCGCTCGTCGCGCCCGAGCAGCTATCCCCGCCCACCCTCCCGCGGTCCCCACTGCATCTGTCGCACTTGCTGCTGCCGTGCGCGCTCCTACTGTGGGGGGAGGTCGTGGGAGTGGCGGACCATGGGGGAGGTGGTGTGTCGGGGCGACCGCTGTGGGCAGTCTGCAGCAGCTGCCGTCATCATTTGTCGCCCCATACGCGACTGTCGCTATGGGGGGGAGGGTAAAGGGGTGGCGGGAGTGTACCCGCAGGAACCAACCGATGCCCTCCTCTCTCCTCTCTCTCCCTGCAGCGCCTGTCGCTGTGGGGGATGGGGGGGAGTGTGAGGGGTTGGAGAGAGAGATTTTGCAGCACCAACAGCCGTCCCCCCTCCTCTCTCTCACTGCTGCGTTTGCAGCTGTGGGGGGGAGGGTGAGAGAGGGTGGCGGAAGACAGCCGGGTATCTGCTGCTGCCGCCCGCTGCTACTTTGGCACCTCCAGCTGTCGCCCCTGTCGCCACCTGCCATGTTTTCTGTTTTCTCCTGCTGGGGCCTGCAGGTGCTGCCGTCGAGCCGCTGCTGTCCTGCTGCCTGATGCAGCCACAGAGCCTGCTCCTGAGGCGACCTGCCGCCTCCCACACCTGTTACTACTTCTTCCTTGGCTGAGGGTTGGCTACTGCTGTTTCTGCCACTTTTGCACCGGTTACCACTGCTTTTGCCTGCATCTGTTTCTTCCGCTGCACCTGTATGGTGTACCCCATTATGGGGGCGTTGACTGCAATTTCTTCCCTACAGGCACTTATGGGGGCGTGTCAGAATAATATATAACTCTATATATTGTTTTGTAACTGCCTGTAGTGTAGAATACTGTAGTCATAGAAGTTTCTGTTTGGTGGTGCACCTTTCTTGTTTGTTCTTTCGTATTTGTACCCTCGCTCAATATTGAATCATCCTCTTTTGTCAAACTCTCTCGACCCCTTCCTCTCGTAACTCTCGTTCTACCCAACACCCTAGTACCTAAGTTTTAACTACTTCTGAGATAACACCCACTGCTGCATGTTTTTTTTTTTCAATGTCTACTGATGTTGTATGTGCGTTTGTGGCTGTGCAGATGTTACGGTGTCCGTCCATCCCAACGGTTGGATGGACGCGGACGGAGTCATCGAGTGGCTCGACGGGGCAGTGAAGCCGTTCGTCCACACCAAGTTTGGAGTGAGGCCCCGCAAAGCGATGCTCGTCTTGGATTCGTACCGCGGGCACCTGACTGCGAAGGTGAAGAAGAAGTTCGGGGAGCTGAACATCGTCCCTGCCGTTATCCCAGCTGGCTGCACCTCGGAGATTCAACCTCTGGACGTCGCGGTGAATCGCTCCTTCAAGGCATCCGTTCGACAGCTCTACCAGGAGTGGTTCGAGAGCGAGGGGGTCGACACCTTGACAAAGAAAGGTGAGAGAGGCAGGCCATGCGTGTGCTGCTTTATCAGTTTGTAGCGGTGGCTGACTTTTGATTGTTTAAATTTTATGGCAGGCAACATCAAGAAGCCACCACCCGAGCTAACGCTCAAGTGGATATCAGCGGCTTGGAAGGCCGTGCCCAGGGACTTGATTCAACGGGCTTTCCTCAGCTGTGGCATTAGTAACGCCCTGGATGGGTCCCAGGACAAGATCTGCCTGCAACACAGGCGCGACGAGCTTGAGGGCGACGAAATAGACATCGACGACGACATTGCAGCAGATGGCTTTTTCTGCAACAACGTAGAAGAACCAGAGTCGGACTCTGAGGCCGACCCGGATGATCCTACCGCAGCTGATGACTAGATTACGTAGATCTAGAAATTGCTGTAGCCTGTGAGACTCGTAGGTAGATTTAGAACTGTAATTAGAAAAAACTGTAGATAAACTAACTTTGTATTTAATTAGATAAAAATATAAGTTGTTAATGTGGTTAGTGAAGTTTGTAGAAAAAACATATTTAAAAAAGTGGCGGTTATAATGTGTAAGGTACAGGTATGCGGCTATAATCCGTACGACTCTAGGGTATGCGCTTATAATCGAGGAGGGGATATAAGCGCCATATGCCAATTAGAAGCGCCAGGCGCTTATCCTAGGGTGGCGCTTATATCCGGGGGGTGACGGTATATATAAGGCTAAACAAGCAAGAGCAGGTATATATATATGTAAGAGTACAAGCAAGGTCAAGGGGTGAGCAAGTGAGGCAAGACAGGCACAAGACCCAGCTGAGTGCAGAAGCGCTGATGATCAGAAAGCAGAAGTGCCTTGGTGAAAACATCAGCAGTGTTGGCCTCAGAGGCCACGTACGCAAGTCGCAACTAACCACGCTGCTGCAACTCACGAGCAAGAAAGTAGCGGAGAGCAATGTGCTTCGTTCTGTGCTCCAGGCGCTGCTCCCGACACAAGGCTAGCATGGCCTTGTTGTCTACGTACAGCACCGGAGGAGAACGAGGCGGCTCTCCGAGGTCAGTCAGCAGGTAGGTAAGCCAGCGAAGCTCCTGTGCAGCCATGGCCACATCGTAGATCTCAGCCTCACAACTGGAGCCGAGAACAGAAGACGAGCGAGTAGCCCGCCACGAAACAGAGCCGGAACCAAGGCTGAAGGTGTAACCCTGTGACGACCACTGCATAGCCTGGTCGTCTGCCCAAGAAGCGTCCGCGTGCCCAGTGAGGACCACTGGACTCCGCCCTCCAAGCACTAGCCCCATGCCCGACGTACTGCACAAGTAGCGCAACACCCTCTTCGCTGCAGCCATGTGCTCTGGTCGGTGTCTCCCAGGAGCAACATAGCGTGCAAGAATGCTAAGAGGGTATGGAAGGTCAGGTCGTGTGCAGGTCATCAGGTACATGAGGCAGCCAACAAGCTCTGGGTACGGGCCACTCGACTCTACAGACTCATCCGAAGGCAGAGCTGAGAGTGAGTGGCGAGTAGACAGAGGAGTGGCCTGAGGCGAGGAGTACGTGGAGCCGAAGCGCTGAAGGACCTGCTGCACCATGTGTGACTGAGTCAGGGTAATGGTGCGGCGTGCTCTGTCCCGGGTGATCTGCAAGCCAAGGTAGCTGCGCAGTTCACCCAGGTCAGTGCACGTGTGTCTCTTCTGCAGCTCGGACTTCACGTGGGCGAGTCCAGCAGTGTCAGCTGTGGCAAAGACCAAGTCGTCGACGTACACGAAGATGTAGAACGGCGGCAGAGAGGTGTCGGTGCGTAGAAACAACGACGGGTCAGCAGTAGAGGGAGCAAACCCAAGAGCCGCAAGTGTAGTCCTCAGTGTGTCGTGCCACTCGCGCGGTGCCTGGCGGAGACCGTAGACTGGCCGTCGGAGGCTCCACTGGGTGCCAGGAGGGAAAGTCCCAGTGAAGCCAGGTCGACGGCGCAACCAGATCTCCTCGTGCAGGCTACCCTGCAGGAAAGCAGTGCTGAAGTCCAGGGAGTGAAGCTCGTAGTCACGCTGAGCGGCTACGTGTAGCAGCACCCGAAGAGTGGTCATCTTCGGGGTGGGAGAGAAGGTCTGAAAGTAGTCAACTCCCTGCCGATGACTGAAGCCACGAGCCACGTACCGCGCCTTGAAGACAGGTGGACAGCCCGGCGGCCGCTTCACCCTGAAGATCCACATGTCACTGACGATGTTCGCCCCAGGAGGGGGAAGCGCGTCAACGTAGGTGCCTGTGGACTTCCAGGAAGCCATCTCTGCATCCATACCTGCCTGCCACCGAGAGGAGTAGGGACCCACTACGGCCTCCGCGTAAGAGCGCGGAGTCGGGATGTCTAGTGCATCCGGGTCTCCCTCAGGGGTAAGCAGTACGGACGCGTGACAGTAGGACTGGCAGTACGAAGAGAGTCCGACTCAGGGTCGGCAAGCACAGGAAGAGAGGACTCAGGAGGAGAGGGCAAAGGGGCACGCAGAAGAGCAGAGGATAGACGCAGAGACATCCGGTGCGTGCCAGGGACAGGAGGAGGACGCTGACGCGAACTGCGACCACTAGTGCGAGCAGCACGAACAGGCGACGCAGGACAAGACGCAGGCTCACGACGCTCAGCAAGACCTCCAGTAGGACCAGTGTACGGAGAAGGAGAAGGCAGTGGGGAGACCGGTGGTAACTGCGACTGCGACTGGACAGGCGGTGGACACTCTAAGGGAGGAGGAAGACCAAGAACTTGGTGAAGGAGCGGAACAAAGTACGCCCGAGGCCGCGCGGCGACTCCAGACACAGCAGGGACAGCACCAGTACCCCCAGCGGCTGCACCTGCGTCAACAACACCTCCAGCTCCAGTACCTCCAGCAGCACCAGTAGCACCGGCAGCAGGACCGCCGCCAGGACTGAAAGCAGTAGCCTCAGCGCCAACACCCTCAGCAGCTCCGACTCCAGTAGCACTCGCAGGACTAGCACCTCCCAGACCGGCGGCACCAGCACCCTCAGCAGTCGAAGAAGCACCAGCTCCAGTAGTACGCCTCCAGCGCCGGGCAAACCACTCGCGCATCTCCTGTGGAGAGAGTGGCTCCCGCCGAGACGAAGCACCCGGAGAACCAGCAGGCCCAGCACCGCCAGACGCCACACGAGCAGGTCCAGCGGCCGCGGGCTCCGCACCCCCAGTCTCAGTAGCTCCAGACTCAGCACCCCCAGGCTCAGCAGCTCCAGACGCAGCACCCCCAGGCGAAGGACCCTCAGGCTCAGCACCCCCAGTCGTAGCACCCCCAGGATCAGCACCCCAAGTCGTAGCACCCCCAGGCTCAGCACCCCCAGGCTCAGCACCCCTAGTCGCAGCATCCCCAGACCCAGCACCCCCAGGCTCAGCACCCACGCGCGCAGCACCCTTAGAGTCAGCACCCCCAGGCTCAGCACCCGCAGCAGTACCAGAGTCACTAGGAACCTCGACTGGCTCAACTGCATCTACCTGGGACACACCTTAAGGGGCAGGACCCTGAGGGGGGAGCGGGTCTACCTGGGGGGGACCTGGCACAAGGAAGTGCGGTGGCGGGGGGAGGGAAGGAGTGCGGTAGGGGAAGAGGCGGTAGTAGGGTACTGACTCATCGAACGTGACGTCCTGGACACGACGAGAGGTGGGGTGGTAGAACTGCCACCCAGGGGTGTTAGGGGGGAAGCCAAGGAAGACACAGGGAGCAGCACGAGGGGACAGCTTGTCCGCAGACAAGTCGCGGACAAACGCCCGAGATCCCCAGACACGGAACGCAGACGCATCGCCGACCTTCCCCGTCCACAGCAAGGCTAGGGAGGTCTCCGGTCTGGAGACCCTGGGGTGAAGGTTGATCTGATGCGCCGCGTACCGAACCGCAAACGGCCACAGAAAATGGGGGGCAGCCGCATGCATCATGGACGTACGAGCGACGTCCATGACCATGCCAATGCGGCGCTCAGCAATCCCATTTTGGTGTGGAGAGTCCGGGAGCGTAAAGGTCTGGCGGATGCCTCGCGCACGACAGTAGGCTCGCAGAAGGCCAGAGGAGAACTCTCCGCATCGGTCAGAGTGCAGACGCAGAACAGGAAAGTCCGAGCCGAAGCTCCTCCTGAGCTGGAGACGAGCTGCGCGGATCCAGTCGATCAACAACTCAGCGACATCACCCTTGCTGCGCAAGGGGAAGACTGTGGTGTAACGCGAGTAGTCGTCAACCACCAGCAGGAAGTAGCGCTCGTGACCCTCTCCACGTACGCGGGCCGGGCCCCACACGTCCATGTGAAGCGTCTGCAATGGGGCCTCTGTGGGGGGAAACTGAGAGGTGTGAGGGGCAGCTCGGAGCCGCCCCTCGACACAGGGGACACAGGAAGGACCAGGCCCCGGAGGAAGGGGAGGGAGGGACCGGGGAAGACCAGAGACAAGGACACGGGAAGCCATGCCTCGGAGACGAGGCAGGGAGGGGTGACCAAGACGGTGGTGCCAGAGGAGAGTCTCGTGAGACAGGAGGCGACACGAGCAGGGGGCAGACTCAGGACCAGACCTGGACGCTGCAGCAAACACCTGACCCGACGCAGCTACCTTACCAGACGCAGTGACTGGAGGAGACTCAGTGGTCAAGGTGTACAGGCTCGACCCCGGCCGACGAGTAAACGTGGCCAGGTGTCGGCCTGTCCGAGCGTCCGTGCAGTGGGTCACCCGCTGACTCGCAGGAGTGAACTGGTGAACCCCCGTATCCTGCAGGTCAGCACCACTCACCAAGTTTGTAGAGAACGAGGGGAGGTAAAGACCAGACAAGGTGCCAGAGGGGGCAGCCGGACACGGGAGGACAGTGGAGAAGTGAGAGAGGACAGGACCCCCAGAGGGGTCTGCCAAGGAGACTGCAACTGGCCGACCAAGCGGCGTGAGTGTGGTGCGGTCTCGAAAGAAGGAGCGAGAAGCCCCTGAGTCAAGTGTGAAGGTGAGGGAGGCCGAAGCCGACGTGGTACCTGAGAGCGCAGACTCACCAGCACCTAAGGGCGCGGACGCACTGGCACCTAGAGCAGCAGCCTCACCAGTACCTAGAGCAGCAGTACCAATGCCCGGGTCGGGCGGGAAACACCGGTAACAGTCACCCTCATCACTAATAGTCACAGCATACATGGCAGCAAGGATAGCATCAAAGTCAAGATCAAACATAGCTACGCCTGCCCTAGACAGCTCTCCCCAGCGGGGGATCTCACTAGCCTCCGGGAACTGCTGACGCCAAGCGTTCGTTAGGCGGCCAAAGCAACGCTGGGTGGGGTGAGCACCCCCACACTGCTCACCCGCGCGGTCGCCGGAGCGGAGGACGTAGGTGCACGGGCCAAAACCCCCACCACGCTAACGCTGCGTGTACCACTCACGGAGCTGCTGAGGAAGGGGGATGTCCCGAGAACGCTGCTGCTGCTGCTGGCGCTGACCACTCCCGGAGCCGCTCCGCTGAGAAGTACCACCCCGACCAGCTCCACCTCCTCCACCACCGGCGCCTCCACCTCCGCCGCCACAGCCGCCTCCGCTCCCACTGCTACCGCCACCGCCGCCTCCGCCTCCGCCGCTGCCACCGCCACCTCCACCCCCGCCACCACTCCCACCGCCACCCCCACTCCCCCCGCCGCCCCCACCGCCACCTCCACCACCCCCGCTAGCCCCACCCGCGCCCTTGCCCCCCTTGCCCTTGCCAGAGCGGCGTCTCCCGCTAGGGGCAGACGCCGCACCGACCGACTCAAGACCAACGAGGTCGGCCGCAGCAGCAGAGGCGACAGAGGGCAAAAGGGGGGAAGGGGAACACCCCTCAAAGATGGGGGTGCGAGGGTCACCACGAGAGGCTCCTACAGCAACTATGCTCTTCTCCGCTGCGGGGAGGGCCTTCTCTAGGAGGTCAACAGTGAGAGTAGTGGGACAGACTGAGAGGAAGTGGTCCCTGACTACGCGAAGGGAGTCAAGGAGGCAAGTGACTATATAGTAGAGAGTGATGTACATGGGGGGGGGATTCTTGGCGCAGAACTCAGCAGGAAGTGCGGCGCGGTAGCGAGTGTCACTAGTGCGGAGGTGCGTAACGAGGTCAGCGACTGTGGGAAAGGCAGCAAGGTCAGGAAAGAGGTACGGTAGCATGAGGCGGCTCAGTGCAGCAGTGGCAGGGGAAGAGTACCGCGCAACTACAGCGTCGTATAAGGTGTGAGCACTCTTGTACTGACTAGAGTGCGCGCGCTCAGAGGTAGGCAGGTGGCGACGCACAGCAAGACGTGCAACAGCATCGCGCGTGGCCCACTGGGAGCGAACAGTGGGGTCAGCATCAGCAGCCGGGGCAGGAGAGGCGCCAGAGGTGAGGTCAAAGAGGGAGAGACCGTCTGCCCTATTGCACTGTAAGAAGAGCTGCAGGTCATCTACCCAAACCTCAAAGTCAATGGCTCGACCCTCAGCGTCAAAAGCGAGAACACTAGGGGAAGCCATGACAGCAGTAGACTAGTGAGACCAACTGTAGGACAGGGGCAGTGTAGTGTCAGAAGCGCTGGTCTCACCAGACAGGGCAAGTCGGGCAGCTCAGTATTGCAGTTTCACGGCAACACGGCTGCTCGGACGGCTCAGTAGCGACTGCGGCTCCGCGGCACCGGCGACTCGGCTGATCAGGCGGCTCGGGCGGCTCGGGCGGCTCGGGCGGCTCAGGCGGCTCGGGTGGCTCAGGCGGCTTGGGCGGCTCGGGCGACTCGGGCGGCTCGGGTGTCTCGGGCGGCTCGGGCGGCTCGGGCGGCTCGGGCTGTTCTGGCAGCTCGGGCGGCGCGGGCGGTGTAGGGCGACAGGTCCGCTGGTGAACGGTGGCGGGGCCGCTGAGTAGGGCGGCGGGGCCGCAGGAGTAGGGCGGCGGGGCCGTAGGAGTAGGGCGGCGGGGCCGCAGGAGTAGGGCGGCGGGGCCGCAGGAGTAGGGCGGGCCGGGGGCCGCAGGAGTATGGGCGGTGGGGCCGCAGGAGTAGGGCGGCGGGGGCCGCAAGGAGTAGGGCGGCGGAGCGCAGGAGCAGGGGCGGCGGGTCCGCAGGAGTAGGGCGGCGGGGCTGCTGCAGAAGGGGCGGCGAGGCCGCTGAGCCGGGCGGCGGGGCCGCGAGGTAGGGCGAACGGGGCCGCGAGGGTAGGGCGGCGGGGGCCGCGAGGTAGGGCGGCGGGGCCGCGAGGTAGGGCGGCGGGGCCACGAGGTAGGGCGGCGGGGCCGCGAGGTAGGGCGGCGGGGCCGTCGAGGTAGGGCGACGGGGCCGCGAGGTTAGAGCGGCGGGCCGCTGAGGTAGGGCGCGGGGCCCGCGAGGTAGGGCGACGGGGCCGAGAGGTAGGGGCGGCGGGGCCGAGAGGTAGGGCGGCGGGGGCCGCGAGGTAGGGCGGCGGGGCCGCGAGGTAGGGCGGCGGGGCCGCGAGGTAGGGCGACGGGGCCGCGAGGTAGAGCGGCGGGGCCGCGAGGTAGGGCGGCGGGGCCGCGAGGTAGGGCGGCGGGGGCCGCGAGGTAGGGCGGCGGGGCCGCGAGGTAGGGCGGCGGGGCCGCGACGACGGGCGGCGTGAGCGAAGCGACGGGTGGCGGGGCCGAGGCGACGCGCGGCGGGGCCGCTTGGGGAAAGGGGCCGCTAGGGCAGCTCGACGAGGTGAGAGCCCGAAGTGCGACTCGGGCGGAGCGCGCTTCGGGCAGGAAAAAAAAAAAAAAAGGTCGATGTGGTGGGCCCTAGGCACAGTTCCCACGGGGGATCTGCTCGATACCATGAGAAGATGTGAACGAGAATGAATGACTAAGGAATGGATGTGATACAAATATGCAACCCTAGAAATGTGTACCCCATATGGGCTACCCCACTATAGCCTACACAATATTATAATTTGACACTAGTGGGTAGCCTAGCCTGTCTAGGATCTTTGCAAGGCTTAACTCAGAATAGAAGTGTTTGTAGTTGCGGAAGCGTTTTAATGACAAGTGTTGAACCACCTTGCGCTAGTATGTGAGGGCAAGATAGAATGATTATAGAAAAGTAGTACACGCCTTTTATAAGATTACAAGGAATATGAAAGAGTGCAACTAATAACTGTTTTACTGTTGCTATTGCGGTTTGATACAGTGACTCGGGCAACTGCTCAATAGCGAGTTACTTGTTTGTCCTTGCTGTCACCAGGGTCCTCGACATCAAACATTTTTGTCTGTTTGTCTTAGTTTGCAGACGGTTTTTTTTGGATTAATCTGATGGGCAAGTCAGAATCAGACAAAAGTTTTTTTTTTGCCCGGGGGACCCGCTTGATGGATCAGACATCCCTCGGATCCTAGCGAGGACCCTGGGTGTCGCGCTGTATTTGTCAAGTCAAAGGTCAGCGACCTTTGACCTTCGCGTAACCTCCAGCAGTTACATTTTATGTCAACCTCCGATGGTTTGACTCGCCGTTGCTTTGTTGTAGTTTGCTTCACTTGCAGTTCAGTGTTTCGACACATCAGAAGCGCTGAAGTCACTTGTTTCCAACACTCCCCTTTGCTTCTCGAGTGTCGCTGCTGGTGACATGGCTTTGTCCAGTCAGCAGCATGCAGTACTCGAACTTCAGTTTTCCGAGCTTCTTGGTTAAGTAATCGGTTGTCGTCTCGGACGTGGGACAGTAGGACAGCTCGAGTCTTCCCTTCTCAATCTCGTCCTTCACGAAGAAATATCGCAGGGCGATGTGCTTTGTTCTGTTCGCGAATCCATTCTTGTTGGCGCTGCGATTGCTGACTGGTTGTCGCAGAACAGGGAAAAGCTGGGTAACTGGGCCAACTTCCTTGGTGGCTGAGCAGAGTGCGATATATTCGGCTTCAGTTGAGGAGAGAGCAATTAGTTCCTGCTTGCTCGACTGCCACGTGATAGGTCCGATAGGCACGAGTCGGTAGATGTAGCCGGTCCGTGAGCGCCTGTTATCAGAGTCGCCGGCATGGTCAGCATCGACGTAGTCGATTAGCTTGGGCGTTGAGGTTCTGGTCTTGTGGTAGGTTAGACTAATCGTCGGGGTGCTGACGAGGTAGTGAAGCGCGCGGTCGAGCTTTGCCATGTGTTCTGCTTCAGGTTTCTTAAGGTAGGTGGCGAGTTGGCTCGCTAAGTACGATAGATCTGGTCGACAGGTAACGGCTGCAAAAAGGAGACATCCCAGCTTTCGCTGGTAGTCGCGTATGCCGGCGGGCTTGAGCGGAGCGGAGGCTTACTTGTGATTTCCGGCGGTGTAGCGATATGGCGTGGAGATAGTGGTTGGGGTGAGTCCGAAGCGCTTGGCGATAGTGTCGGCGTATTTCGCGGCGCAGAGGTAGATCGCGTTCTCTTCTTCTTGAATGTTGAGTCCGAGGTATTGTGTTACGGTGGATGAGACGGTGAGCGTAAGTCCCGCTGCAGCTCCCCTTCGAACCAAGTTGTGATGCCATTGGTCGAGCCGATGTAGAGTAGGTCATCCACGTAGACGATCAGCAGGATGTAGTCGATGCCTTTCGTGAGCCGATACATGCCCTGGTCGTGCGGTAGCTGGCGGAATCCGATGCGGATGAGTCGCGCGTGTAAGTATTGCTGCTACAATCTCGGGGCCTGTTTGATGCCATACAGGGACTTCAGTAGCTGACAAACTTGGTTGGGTTCTGCGTTGGAGCCGTGTGGTTGCTCGACGAAGATTTCAGCATCGACGCGTGCGTACAGAAAGGCGTTGGCAACGTCGATTTGGCGTAGTTTCTTCTTCTTCATGGCGGCTATCCCGAGGAGAATCCGCAGAAAGGTGTGTCGGCTGACCGGCGCAAACGTTTCGGTGAAGTCCCGTCCGTGCTCTTGGTCGAAGCCGTGTACGACCCATCGCGCCTTGAATTTGTCGATGGTGCCGTCTGCTTTGGTTTTCACACGGAAAACCCATTTCCCGGTGAGGATTTTCTTGTTGCGTGCCACGCCGATGGGAACAATTTTCCAGCGCTCTTCCAGCGCTTTTAACTCCTTGTCCATGGCTTCGCGCCATTTTTCCCTGTGCTCCCCCCCCAGAGCCTACTGAATCGTGGCAGGCTCTTTAGGTGGTGCCGTGCCATGGACTGCGGTGACGAGCCCGAGTATCTGGAGTCCACTCTGTGTATAGCGGGGGAGATTTGCGTCCTCGGGATAAGCCGTTTCGTCTCCTGCTTCTGGATCAGGTGTGAAATTGGGTCCTATGCATTCTGCTTCATTGGTGTTGACTCGTGCGTGTGTAACGTAATCAGTGTCAGCGAAGTCGTAGAAGAATTTGGCGTTGATGCTTTCGCGAGGGTTGTCGTCATCCATTGGGATATCTACCGAACAGTAGGGAAGAGGTCCGGGTTCTTCCAAAGCTCCGTCTACGGGGTGTCGTCCCACTCAACTTCGTCTTCTAGCGAAGCGAAGGCTCTGTCTCCACGAAAGCCACCTGTGGGGTCTCGTTCTTCTTCTAGGTTGGCAAGGTATGTCGGGAGTGTGAGTCTTTCGTAGAAAATCACGTCACGTGCTGCCACTGTTTCCTTGGTGTTGATGTAAAAAATTTTCCATGCGTTGTAGTGTTTCTTGATGCCCAGGTGTAGTCCCCACTGTGCCCGTTGGGAGAATCGGCCGGCTCGTGCAGCTGTGGGTCGGTACTATACCATGCAGCCGAACACCCGCAACATTTTTGTGTTGCCCAATTTTCCTGTCCACAGCAGATGCGGTGATGCGTTGTTCGGGAGCGATGATGACGAGAGCAAGTTGTGCAGCATGACAGCATGGTCCATCGCCTCAGGCCACTGGTGGTTGGGTAGCCGCATGCCACGTAGCAGCTTGCGCATGGTGTTCTGGAGGGTCCTGTTCATTCTTTGTGCCATGCCTTGCTGTTGGTGAGCGTAGGGAAGAGAGAGAAGTCGATTGATGCCTCTCTCTGCCAAGTACTGCGTGAACCTCTGTGACGTATATTCCCCTCCCCCGTCTGACTGGAAACTTTTCAGCTTCACTTCTGATTCCCGTTTTGCTACTGGAAGCCATGCGTCGATGAAGGTGATGACATAGTTGTATGCTCCTTGACCTGGTTCACGGTTGTACAAGATGTTGTTGTACACCTTCTCTAAAGGTGCGTATGACGATGCACTTGGGTTGTGATGAGAGACGAAAGGCTGATGCGGGTCACCTTCAGGGCAGGTGAGGCATGTTTCCTCGAACTCGTTGAAGTTCTCTGCCATCGGGTAGAAGTAGCAATTCTTTATCAAGTACTCCTGCTCGTATCGTGTTATTTAACGTTGTGTTGCTCGGGTGTCCCATTCTTGCGTGCCAGATGTCTTCGCCTGCGTGATGTCCGGATGAGCGCCTGTACAAGTCGGAGTTGGAGTAAAAACCGGCGGTGAAGTTGGCGCTTCTGTGGACTTCGCGTGGAGTAGGAGTCTGTTGCTGCGCAAGAGTCGGTGGAGTATCGTCGATTGGGGCTGGTGCTCTTGAAGGACCCGTGATTGGCGTCGTGATTGGGTGTTA